GAGAGAGAGAGAGAGAGAGAGAGAGAGAGAGAGAGAGAGAGAGAGAGCTTGACGTGGATGCTTGAGGGGGGTTGCAAACACAGGGAGCCGTGTTCGTGAGGAAGCGGCTGACTTGGACACTCGTGGGGGCCATTGTGACGAGGGGATGTCGGCAGGTGATGGTGGACGAGGCACATTTGTGCCAGTCTTGTGATGTACAGGGTGTTGTCCCCATCGACGGAGCGAGAGAGGAGCAGGAGCGGACACACGGGATGGGGGGTGTACCACTGTACCAGCGGCCATAGAGGAGAGAGTCGATATATTGGCATAGCATGCCGAGCAGGCGACACGCGAGACTGGCGTCATACCGCCTGAGGACTCCGTTGTCATCCCTGCAGTTGCACATATACACTTGTCTCACACATCTACTGTGGAGCAAGCGGAGGTGGAGGACGCACTGCCTCGGAGGGCTGACATACCTGCCCGAGGGGTTGCTTGAGAGCGCCACACAAATATCCCCCAGCCTAGAGGATATAAAGACGGGGCAGTCGGTGGGCAACAATGATGTCGGAGTGGCAGCTGGGCCAGCGAGGATGGCACTGGCCACCAAGGGGCGCGACGACGTTGAGGGTGAGTGGAGCGGGTTCAAGGCGAGGAGGTGGGGTTTTCAGCACAATGCGGGTTCTTACCGAATGCAACTTGAACTCGCCCCTGCGTGGCCCCCAACGCACGCAGCCGCGTTGCAGCGCGATGGCGGGCGTGCATTTGTTTCTTTCCGCCACACACCACGTGGCAGGATTGAATGGAATCGAACGTCGTTCACGGGGTATTGAACGCACCCGTTCGAACGTGAACGCACATCCACGCGTTCACCCGGTCACATAGGAAAGAGAGGGAGAGAGATGGAGAGGGGAGGGAAGAGAGAGAGAGAGAGAGAGAGAGAGAGAGAGAGAGAGAGAGAGAGAGAGAGAGAGAGAGAGAGAGATCTATGTACACCTGTGTGGTGGGGGGTTGATGTAATAGGTGTCTCTGCAGGCTGTAAATATGCTGCGTTGCATGGCAGGCTGCCTGGGGCGGACATTTGGGGGGGAGGGGGTGGAAGGTGGGGGGGACAGACCTAGAAGACACAAAAATCTGTATAATTACAACTATGGCACCTCAGTAAGCCTACATGGAGGACTTTGATCGGCAAGAGGTTGAAGAGGATAGGGACGAAAGTGATCTTGCGGTAGGTGTCCTCAATGGGGCAGGAGTTTGGGGCCTAGGGTACTAGGATCATAGCATGGCCCCCCAACCCCCCCCCAGGTTCTGCAAGTGGTGTGACTGATTGTGTTCCCACCTCCCGGCACGCTTTCCCCCGGGTCACCGGGTGGATTAGGACATGAGTTCGACTTTCCCTCGACCCTGGTGCCTGCACGCCTGCCCTCGGTCAGGCCCAATAACCCCCCTCTGTGAACACTTGTTTCCGTCTATTCTTTTGTTCCCCGTTCTATGCTTGCAGGTGATAATCAACCGGACTGATGCCGTCCAGAATAGAAGGGGCCTGTGTGGCTTTTTTTTTTTTTTTTTTTTAAGGTGTATATTCAGTTAGCAACGGAACCAACCGTCCTTACCATGAGTAAAATTCGAGCACCTGGTTTTGCCACTTTGCAAGGGTTTAATTTAATGTCAAAACATCACATGCTTGCAGATGTGGTTGCTATCATAGTTATGCACAGTTTTTGCACCTGAATTATCTGACACCTGTAAAAGGCTGTAAAATTTAATATGTTCCAACTGTAATCTCACTCCTCGAGCCTTTTTCTTATGACAGACACACACACAC